CTGTCCTTGTGGATACCTATGTCCCTCCTGCTTTCCAGGTTCCATGCTGGCTGGGGAATTCTGGGAGTTGAAGTCCACCCATCTTAAAGTCGCTGAGGTTGAGGAACCCTGTCCTTGTGGATACCTATGTCCCTCCTGCTTTCCAGGTTCCATGCTGGCTGGGGAATTCTGGGAGTTGAAGTCCACCCATCTTAAAGTCGCTGAGGTTGAGGAACCCTGTCCTTGTGGATACCTATGTCCCTCCTGCTTTCCAGGTTCCATGCTGGCTGGGGAATTCTGGGAGTTGTAGTCCACCCATCTTAAAGTGGCCAAAAACCACCGAACTTTCCAATCAGCCTCTCAGCTCAACGAGGAAGTTCTCTAGAAATTTAGAAAGCAGAATTTTCACCAGATGCAAATGTCTAGTCACCCCCTCTAAAAGCTCCTCTTGATTTCTACCCATCGGATTGTGCTTAGAAGCTGCCAAGCTTTTTAAGTTCTTAAAAATGACTTTTGTGGTCCGCGGGCAACCAAATCAAGGTGAACCCCCCACCCCCCAGCTTTCCAGATTTCAGGGTGTTGCTTTTTCTTCTGTGCCTTCCCCAGGACTTTTGAGAAAAGAAAGTTTTTCTCTTTGGCCAGAGAAGCTGTGGAAGGCTGCTTTGATCAATGCCAATGGGGGCAATTCAGAAACGGGGGCAAGAAATATACATGTTTTCCTTCCTGCTCAGCCGCTTCCAGCCCACGCAAGCATAACTAGGTCAGAAGTTTTTCTGTGGCCCGTCTCTGTTCATAAGCGCGGGTCAAAGCAGAGAAAAATATAACAGCACTTGATGTCTGTGGAAGTCAATAGGGTGGTTTTTTACCAATTCTTCGTTTCCAGAACAATCTGGCACTTATTTTTAAATGAGTTGTGGTGTGCGTCGGGCATTGGCTGAGCTATTTCTGGCTGTTGTTCCTTCTGATTTCAGTTTCTGTATGTGTGGCCCAGAGACAACATCAGCTATGTCGGTGTTTCTCAACCTTAGCAACTTTAAGATGGGTGGACTTCAATTCCCAGAATTCCCTTCCCAGCAATGCTGTGTGGGGGATATTTGGTGTTTGTGGTCGCACCTCTTTAATTTTTTTATGGATG